AAAACGTTTCTCATTGGCTTGGATGAGATTTTGATTGCCAGAGAGTTGCTGCCTGCCAAATTTGCAAGTATTTTTTGGCATTTTGTTTCATTTTAGTTTTAGTCGCAACTAACGCTAAAAGGTAAAAACAGCAAGCGCTCCATTTTAGCTGCCGCCGCAGCTCCTGCTGCTGCTCCTGCCACTGCTCCTGCTGCTAGTTGTTTCTGTTTTCACGGCAAACTTTTGAGCGCACATTAATTAGAAGCTGCCACGCTTGGCAGACACGCGCTCCTCCGTCGCCAGAAAGTTGGGCCAGTTGGGCCAGGCCCGAAAAGTGCAACATGTACGCACAAAGTTCTTGGTTTGAGTTGCTTTCACAGTTTGAATTTAAGTTTTTATTTTCACTCTCTGTCTCTCTCTCGCTCGCTCGCTGTATATATATTTATAGGGTATATACCTATTGTGTTGCCATCAAACGGAGCTACCATATTCATATGTGTGGGCGTTAATCAGCATTCATTATGTGCGCTCAGACTCTATAAATATTCCAGTAAAATGATAACTCAACTAGTGTTCAAAAATATCGATAAGTAAATTAAATTTAATGAAGATTTTTTTTTTAACTTTTAAAAGATATAGTTTCTATCTATCGGAAGTGGAAAATTTTTCTATACTTTATGATATCTTTATTATGATATCTCAAATTGCTTTTATTAGATATATATGTAGATACTGTTGAGTGCCGATATTTGGAAATGGCAAGGGAATCATTTTTTTCTTCGATTTACACAGGAATTCAAATTATCGAGAATTACTGACAACGAACATTTTTAAGGGGATAGATTTTTTTCTATCTATTGCGATTGTTGATTTAGCGGGTACAAGTTATCAAGACAAGACTGTCTAAAGATATGTATATAGATATTTAGCTTGTTCTTGTTTCTTTACAACAGCTTTTGTCCTCAATTCTATAACGCAGTTTTAAATGTACTTTAACTATCGATTTTGCATAAATATTTAGATATTTATTCTACTGTAAAGACTATATAAATATTGCGTATCGTTAATAGCGTATCGTTGATATCGAACTGATTTTATAAGTATTTTCTAAATATATAGATTCACAAATAGATATATGATTGACATAGATATATACATACTTTCTATAGAAATTTATCCTTTTAAGAACTCAATACAAACAATACAAAGTATATTTATAAACCAAGAACAAATAACATTTACAGGGTATTTGCAAGTCAGCCCCTCTGCATGTGGCCCTCTACCTTGTGCTCTCGCCGTTTTCGGCAAATGTTCGGCTAGATGCTTTTAATTAAGGCACCCGACAGCGTCATGGCCCATGCATTCTGGCTAAGCAGCTGCTACGGTGGAGCCCAGTGTCTGCCAGGCCGTGGCGCCGTCAGTTGCCAGTTGCCAGTTGCCAGTTGCATTATGCTGGCACTTGCCGATGGGCGTGCGCCTCAGTGGTGGCGGCAACAAGGTGTTAACATTTTAAAGTTGCCTTTAATTTTGTTAAGAGCGCAGACAAACATATGCCCGCAGAGATGATGGCAGATGGCGGATGGCTGTTGGCGAATGGCGGATGGCGGATGGCGAATGGGAGGGCTAGCTGAGGAACTGTTATAAATAACGTAATCTTCACGCACGTAATTCAAATGGCAGCTAATGGGCGTCGGTGTGGCCGCCGTTGTTCAGCACCGCGTCGCGTCTCATTTAGCGCACGTATCCAAATAATGACCCAAAATGATGGCGTTTAATTCAAATGAAGCGTCTGCGCTGATGACCAACTTTGCGTCCAGCAAAAAAAAAAAAAAAAAAAAATGAAACGCATGTACTCATGCTATAGAAATGTGGTACACGACAAGATATCCTATTCTTTTATTTATAGAAAACTCTAGTTGAAAGCTCTAATCTTTCTCTCTGATGGACAAATCTAGAACAGATTTAAATAGAAATCTCAATTGAATCTGAATTGTCAATTGAATTTCAAGCGAATTTGAGATGGATTTAATTGCAAACAAGTAAGAAGCATCTCGAATCTCGACTGCTCGACTGCGAGATCCCCTGAACCCTTCTATGAACTAATATTCCAGTGATTCTTCGATTCAAGAATGGTAACAAATATAGAAATTGAAATACATATAAAAATAAAATACATACAAGTCTAAATTTGGCGAATCTAGCTCTGAAGATGTACGAGATATTATTTTATAACTGATTTTCTATCAGTTTTTAATCGATAATAGCAAAGACGGGAGTTGTTATCGATTTTTGGAAACAAACTCGATCTGCGTTTTATATACACGGGCATACGAAATAAAAATTCAAGTCCTTAGTTCTTACATCTTCTGAGATCGATACGGTCAAACGAACGGGCAGACATGTAGGTAGAGAGACGGACTGAAAGAAGACATGGCTAAATGGACTCAGATCGTCGCCATAATCAAGAATATATATATTTTATTTGATCTGCCACGCCTCCTTCTGCCTGTTACATGCATTTAACAAAGCCAATATACCCTGATTTTCCATTTTCAATGGGTTCAGGGTAAAAATATGCCCATATATACCCTACTCTGCTCATCCTGTGCTGGATATACAAAACTGCGTGAGTTTTGTAAATAAAATGGAATGAAATGAAATGTTTTATCAACGTGCCAAGCGCACTAAACAGCATAGCCCGCCAGTCGGCCGACCAAGCCACTCTCTGAATGATGGCCCTTTGACCACGTGAATGCTGTGTGGGAAGATGGGTAGATGGGGGATGGCGGATGGCAAATTGGGGGGTACGGCAGATAGACGCTGCATGCAGCGGTTCGAGCTACGCTTATTATCGCTGAGCCCCCCACCCCCCTTCCCATGTGATATTTGTTGTAATTGTTTTGTTGTCGTAAATGCGAAGATAGATTGCAATTGCCACAGGCCATTACCAATGGAAATTACGCACAATACGAGAACAAACCAAATACGAGTGGGCATAGAAAGAAGTGCTCTCCCATGGACAGCAGCGGGCAGCACTCGCTTCAAAATGCTTGTCATTAAATTAAAAATAAACGACAATATTTTATGCGCCTATAAATATGCAACGCACAAAATGTTACGGAAAGCGAGCATCTGCTATTTATATTTGTTGCTGTTGTTGTTGTAGTTGCTTGAATTGTTGTTTTTATGTCTTCTTTATGTGTAAGGCATCGTTAGAGTTAAAGTTTGCTGCCCGCATCTGTCTCAGACACAGGTGTGACCATGGCCAGAGATTGAGCGCCACAGAGAAATGAATTAATGTGTGTGTGTGTGTGTTAGACTGATTGTGTGTGTGTGTGTGTGTGTGTGTGTGTGTGTACGAGTGATTTGCTTGAGTCCTGCCCACTCTAACACAAACCATAAATTGTAAAAACAAAACAAGAGCTATTTTCTAATCTCTCGATTTGAATAAAATATTTATTATAAAATTCACTTGGCTATGAAGGATTTGGCCAACGTTATTCTGGCCATCAATTTATTTCAAATATTCAAATAAAATATTCGACTTTAGCCTATTTAGTGTAATACTCTGAGTGTGCATTCATTTTAATAGATTATTATCAAGATTTATGCTTTTTTTTATGAGATTTCTCTTGAAGCTTTAACATTTAGACTAAAAGTTCACTAAGTAGATAAATATGTCAATTTCACAAAATAATTAGAGTATAGTATATTCGAGTATTATATATTTATATGGTAGTATATTGCCTATTTGTATATTTGCCAATTTATTTACTATTTTTATAAAATTCAATAGTTCAATTCGTCACAGTGCTTTTACTAAGCTGTTAGATGGCTTACATAGGTACATAGGTACATAGACATATATAAATATCTAGACTTATTTCATTCTTATTTTCTTCTGCCCTAAAATACTTCAAATACTTTGACTCATTTTCGTGCAGAATAGAGAATGTAGTTTCTTTCCATTGAAATGGGAACTCTGGATAGAATGATTTTGTTTTGTTTTTTTTTTTTTTTTTTTGTTTGTTAATTGTATGTAACAGGCAAAATATATACAGTGTGCGTCACTATGAAATATGCATTCTTAGAGAAAAAATTTTTTTATTAATTTAGAATATATTTTAAAATTAACTTGGGTTTATTGATATGTGTACTTCATATTAAAATAAAAAACAGCGAAATTTAAGTTGAAAACAAACAAAACTGCATCGATCATCAAAAATCCTACAGATATGTTAAAAAAAAAAAAAAAAATTATTTTAGCTAGTTATTCTTCTTCTCTTGTTACTGATAACCCGATTAGCTGCAAGTATAATCTCAATCCATAGTTATGTTGTCTAATAAGTTCTGAAATATTTCGAATTTCCAATTTATATATTTTCATATAATATACATGTTAAAGAACGCTCCCTTTAACTGACAAAATGCAACCAACCAATCACAGCACAATTAGCGGTTGATGCAATATTACTAATGTGATGAAATTATGCTTTTAATGAAATACCCAAAACAGAATACTCACACACTCACACATCCAGTAAACAGCAACGCGCGCATACAGTGAGTGCAACCAGTTCGCTTCGACACACACATATACAAACCCTCTACATTGGCCTTAATGTTTTTTTGCCACTTAATCATATTTATTAACAGAAAACCATATACATATACCATATACCATAAAACCATATATGCATGTATATAACAACTTTTTAAAATTGTTTAACTCTTTATTTAGATTGGTTTACTGAATAAAAAAAAAGTTTTCTACTTATTATTAAAGCTTGAATTTTTAAGAATGATTTTACAGTTAGCAACTTTTTTTTATTTGAATTTTTAAAATTTGTTGATCTATTCTTCTTTCTTTTAATACTCTATACAAATTATTAAACTTAGCAAAAATGTAGTGTAATATCATTGAAATAGAAAAATTGCTTATTTAACTTATTTAGGAACTTTCTATTAGCAAAATTTATTATTTATAAATATTTATTTATAAGTATTCATAAGGAAACTTTATTAAACAATTTAGGCATATAAATGGATAAGTGTGAAAGGGCGTCAAGTCTTCTCATTCTACAGCCTTAGACTTATCGAACCTATGTGAAATTAGTTTAAGTTTTGGCTTTTAGAATACGATCCTACGTTGGGCTAACGTCTGGATTGGCATATTTTAAGTAATCAGGCTGCAGTTCGTGTCTTTTCGTAAGCTGGAGCTGTCTCCACTGGAGCTATCTCCAGCTTGGCATCCTCGAATTCGCTCCCCGCCTCGCTCTTGGTGTCATTGTCATTCCAGGGCTGCGTCTCGGCCGTGCCCCAAATGAGGTAGATGATATTGCCGGCGAATAGCACCGTGGCCGCAATGCTAAACACAATCTGCCACTCGCGGCGCTCTGTGGGATGTTGCACCAACACGCCCACCACAAGGGGCGTGAGCATGGCCACCAGATTGGTGAAGGTGCTCAGGATGCCAGACAGTATGCTGGCATGGACAGGCGATAGATCAATTGTGTTCAGCTCGCTGCCAATTGTCGCCGCACTGCTGACGCCCACGCTGAGCGTGACCAGGGCCAGGGCCAGGGGCTTCTGTGTGGCCTCCACAAACCCCAGGGCCATCATAATGACAGCCGGTGTCCACAGGGCGATGCTGTTGTACGTCTTCCGCAGCGCCGTCAAACTGAGCCGACGTCCCTGCAGCAGCACGTCCGCAATGATCAGATAGACATAGCACATGGCCCACATGAGCAGGAAGGGCAGCGCCGAGAAGAACGCATTGCTGTGCATCTGCAGGCCCAGCACGCCGTTCAGGTAGGAGGGCAGCTCCGTCTGCATCGTGGCCAGGCCCCATGTGTCCGCGCAGCGGGCACAGAGCAGCGCATAGAACGGCGCCGATGTGAAGATGCCGCGCCACGGTATAGCCATCTTGCGCTCCCGCCGCAGGCTGCGCTGCAGGTCGCCAATGATGTAGCGCTGCTCGGCGCGGCCAATGCAAGGCGCCTCGCTGGCCCGATTGGCTCCAAACAGCAGCCACAGCATGCACCAGGACAGGCCGACGGCACCGGAGACGTAGCTGATGCCCGGCCAGCCCCAGCTGGAGCTGGCCAGCATGCCGGCTGCGTACATGGCCAACACGTTGCCGCAATCGAAGCCCGTGTAGGCGAAGGCGCCTAGGCGCGTGCGCTCCACCGCTGGCGCCCAGTTGGCCAGATGCTGGTGGATGCAGGGCAGCGTGAGGCCCTGGCAGAGGCCCTGCATCAGGCGTATGCAGCAGTAGGCGCGCCACCCGCCCATATAGATGCCGTGCGGCGTCAGGGAGCTCAGCAAGGCGGATCCGAAGCTGCCCAGGAAGAGCACCGACTTGACGCCGAAACGTTTGCATAGATAGCCGCCGGCAAACTGGGTCAGCGCCGAGCCCCAGTAGAAGCTGGACAGGACGTAGGATTTCTCTGGCTCCGTCCAGTTGTAGTGCTGCAAGTATAAATCTCACAATTCTTAGTCGGGGCATTGTGCATCTCAGAGGAGGCGTGGCACTTACGGGTACGTCGACATTCACGGACGTGGCATTTGTCATGGCCACCACGGCCACGCCCACATTGAACTGCAGTGTGGTATTAACGACCAGGCCCAGGAACAGCAGCAAAGCCTGCAGATGACGCAGTCCAAGGCGAGGCACTGAAATGCAAATTAGACACTGAAATCCATGCTCTCCATTTCCATTTCCACATCCATTTCCCCTTGCAGGCAACACCCACCTTTCTCCAGGTCCACATCCGTGTCGGTCATTCTGCTTGAGCGGCTTCGTTGTTGTTGTCGAAAACTGGGCAAAAGAGAACAAAACGAAATCTGGAATCCCCTCAAGTCCAAATGCAACAATTTCTAGCTCAGCTTTGCTTTGACGACTCTCGATTTGTGTTTCTGTCTCAGCTACAAAGAAGAAGAGTTAAGCGGCATTAAAAATGTTTTGTAGAGCAAGTAAAAGTGCTAAGGTCGACATAGACCAACTGGGAGATATACGGGACAGAGAGAGATTTAATGGGCCAAGTATCTACTATTTGATATACCAAATGGTAAACAAAATCGAATCAAAGCTAATGCATTTATCTATAGAATTCACTTTAGCTTTAGTCGAAATATCAATTCAACTTGCTTATTTTAATCTTATTTAATAATAAAGAAATAAAAAAAAAAAATCAATCAGCTTCCAGTCTATCGAATTATCAATCTTTGTTGGTAATAAATAATTTGAAAAATTATGGAAACATCTTTTTTATTGACAATAAGCAAATTGAAGTACATATCGATCAATCACTCAATATATCAATTAAAGGAATTATTAATGAATACACCATTACAATACATAGAAACATATATTTTTATTGATAATGAACAAATTGAAGTAAATATAGATA